TTCAATAATATTTTCCTAAATAGCCTCATTAATACTTCAGAACAGCAGGTTAGGTGCCATAAGTAGTAATTACATTGCATGAGTGTTAGCACCTCCCTGAAATGATACAGGACATGCACCACATGTACAACTGTATACAGCAGAACTTTTAGAGATGACTACCATGGCTGCTGATAATAGCTGTGTCATCCACACCTTGTTCTTTGCTATACGAAGAAAGAAAGATCCTTTGCAATAAGTACACCAAAAGTAACAACCTGTTATTATAAAATGATCTGGTCTGCCATTGCTGATCTTTCTACCTGAAGACTCTAGTTGCCTGGCTATCATGCTGATTCCAATGCTTTCTCACTCACTGACCAGGAACAAGGGGGTAGAATAAGAGTTCCTATTTTCCTCAATAAATACTACTTGTTCTAAGTCAGCATGTCCAAAAGATCAGAAATAGCAGCCTACATACATATATCTGTTAATACAGGTTTCCTATTAACTGCTTCTATATTATATCAAAGGAAGGGCTAGCATATCAAACAGCAGCACCCCACAATGGGTGTATATTCTGATTCCTATGTTTGTAAGACTGCCAGCCATCCTTTTTATTAAGCTTTGTACAATAAGTGAGTTATGGCAGAATTATATTTTCAAGCTATACTCTTCAAATATATATTCCATCAATGGTACTTATGCTTATCATTGCAAGCTCTGTGTATATCCAAAGGCGATATAACTGAACATGAAAGAGACAAACCAAACAGAGCGCACTGGATAGTGCAGAGTAATCTCATTGTAATTAATAAAATGATAACATTGCACTTACAAACAATGACTTGATCATAAAACCAGGAAAAACCTCCTGATATGAAATATCAGATCACAACACCCTTTGGTAAGTTTGCTCTCACATGACAGCCAGCAAAAGGAGAGGATGAAGGCAAAGAAGGAAACTTCACGAGGCAAAAATCTCCTTTTTATAAATAAAATGATACAAATGATGATGCAAGTGGAGGTACTTTTTGAGACAAGTAACAATTTAATTCCTTTTTTGTCACCAATGCTTTTAGGGGATAAATTGTAATGACTCTCTCTCCACTGTTTATACAGTGTGACCTGGTAATCCATAGGAGGAGGTTTTCCCTGGTTTTAAGTTCTGATCAAGTAATCATTTGTAAGTGCAATTGTATCACTTTCTTCTTTAAAAGATTAACTTGTACTATCCAGTGCGCTAAGATTAACTTGTACTATCCAGTGCACTAAGATTAACTTGTACTATCCAGTGCGCTAAGATTAACTTGTACTATCCAGTGCGCTCTGTTTCATTTTTCCATATCCAGCTTTCATTGAATGAAGGGATAACTGATTCTACATGTGAATGCTATTTATTGCTTATTGATTACTTTTCATTTTTGCATGTGTCATAGGTACTTCAGCTTTTTGTTAGTGAGATCCCATGTGCCTTTGCCTTTAAAAGAGAACCATAGGGTCAGTGTTTTTCCCTATAGTTCTCTTTAGGGTCACGGGAGGACATAGATTTGCATACTCCCGTGACCCAAAGCTCAGTATACCGCGAGCTACAGCTCGCGGTATACTGAGACCGCCGCAGTTGGGACGAATCCCGACATTACTGTTGAGACCCACCCAGCTGCGTGAGTGACAGCTGGCTCTGCCTATCTAGAGGCAGAGCCAGGTGTACCCGGTCCCTCCCCCATCCGTTCCACCAGTCAGCGCTGGAGGATCTGAGCTGGGAGGAGGGGAATCCCTGCAAGGAGAGGGGATTGACAGTCACGGCTCTCTGCAGTAGGATGATCGAGAAGTGAGCGAGCGGCGGTATGTGTTTACTCTCTTCCCGATCTATTGAGCCGACGTGTGACAGTTTAATTGTCACACGTCAGCTCTAACTATGAGGAGGAGTGATTTTCACTCACCTCATAGCTCGCTTTTAATTAAATTGGCACGATAACCCGGCATCATAAATGTTACTGACTTAAAATATTTGCTCTCTGAAATTGCTATTCTCCCATGATGGCATACAGGAATTGCTCTATGTATCTACATGCAATATTATTTGTTTACAGAACATTATTAAAGTGTCTTTTAAATATACCATTGAAATATTTAAAAAAAATAACCAGAAATATTGTGAGCTGGTAACTTGCTGTGCTGCCTGTCTTTGCTGAACTCTTATCAGTTACATTGTTCCCAGTTCTCTGTGGGGGTTAGGTCCTACCACTTCTCCTATCCTAGAGTAACAATGCCACGTCTTCATAGGTAGAGTATAGCAGGGGTGGGCAAATTAATATGGAATTCAGGAGCCAGTCTATTTAATCCAGGAGCCAGCAGGAATTTTTTAGGAGCCAGCACCATTGGCAACAAGTAGAGGAAACCTCAAAAGTTAGGTGTCAGCTGTAGTTTGTAAGGCTCCCTGGCTCTTAGGATTTGTCCAGCTCGGCAGTACAATCGGTGAGTGTCGTCATCCTAGGACTTTGGCAGAATTATCATATGGAAATAAAAGAATAAAACTAATGCAGCCTCCACATCACAGGACTGGTAAGCTGCAACATATTCTATTATTGTTCTTGGGTTTAGATACACTTTAACCTTTAGCATTGTGCTTCTGGAGAGCAGATCCTAAGATTACTTTGTGCTAAGGAAGGAGAACATCTACTAATTGTTATTGTAGATTCTGATAAAGTTACATATTTTCATATCTATGATTCATTTTTGCTGCAAAAGAAATAAAAATAAACATTCAGGCTACTATAACCAATTCTCACCAGCTCTAGTCGGTTGGGAAAGTGGATCATGCTGGTCTGGCTGCAGGGCTTGTTCGTTGGCACAGGATATTCCTGGACTGGTTGGGGTTCCGGCTCAGAGCTGGTCACTCCTCCATGATATTCCTGCCGAGGTCCTACATGGTCCCGTGGCCCCACATGGTCCCGTGGTCCTACATGATCTCGTGGACCTACGTGGTCTCGTGGTCCCGCATGTTGTTTCTGGCTTACTTTGATGTAGAAGAAGTCTTCACTGCGGCCCATCTTGGACCCCCCTCCCTTGGCATGTCCTGACTCCTGGGAAAAGCCAAATCTTAGGATGCCATCTGAGCATCGGCTCAGCTTCTTGAGGTGAGGTGGCTTCCTCCCACGATGCTGAGACCCTCTTCCTTGTTTGCTGTTAAGGCCATGCCCTGATAGGAGACTGCCCACACTGCCCATAATGCCACGGAATCTGACAGAGGAAGGTCTGTTAAGTGAGAAGCCAGAGAAGGAAGATAGGGGGCCTGAGTCATATCCAGGGGCCCCCCATTCCTAGACTGAGGAGCCTAAGAGGAACAAAAGAAACAATAAAGAAAAAACTTTCAAAGCAGTAGTAATCTAGTAGTAAAAGTATACATTCTATGCAACACTGCCATTAGATGATATAAGGGTATGGAGGCTAGGAGCAGATCAAATCATTTTAAAATATAAAAAGGAATGCCATGCCACATGGGAAAAGTAAAATCTTGGGATGCAATACCACAAATCTGTACAGCTACTTCATGTTAGCTAACCACCATCAGTGCAGTGTATGGCATCTACAGCTAAAGGGCCAACAAGGTGGTACAACCACACAGGTTATGGTGAGGTGGGCTAAAATTATTCAAAAAGCCCTGAAGTTAATCAATACAAAGCATAGTAGAGCCATCCTAAAACAGATTTCCCCATGGTCCCTGTGTGTGTTTTAAAGTAGCCACCATTCCAAGCTCGCTCCTGTGATGGACTACACTCTCAGGTTTGGTTAGCTTGGAGCGGTGGCTACTTTACAACACACACAGGGACCATGAGGAACAAAAGTAGCCCTCCTCCAGAAGGAAGGACAGTGTCAGCACCAATTCAGAGATGATTTGAGGATCTACAGCCGAGTGATACACAAATAAGATACATTTTTGTTAATAGTTAAGGTACTTGAATGTATTTTAAGACCTCATTCACACTAGAAACGGCCGGCAAGCACAGCTCCGTGCTGCGTGCACGGCCGCATCGGGCAGCTCCCGGGAAGGACAGGTGCTGCGTGTGATTATTACGCAGTCCCTGTCCTTCTCTATGGGAATACGCGGCCATACGCCGCCCTACGCTCATCTCAAGTGCATGTCCGTACGGGTGCTGGTGTCCCGGCTCGGACGCAGACGGGATCCATCCTGTCAGCATATGAGTACGGACACCCGCACAGACGTGCAGGGCAGCGTACGGCCGTGTAGTCCCATAGAGAAGGACGGGGGCTGCGTACTAATCACACGCAGCACCTGTCCTTCCCGGGAGCTGCCCGATACGGCCATGCACGCAGCACGGAGCCGGCTTTTTCTTGTGTAAATGAGGCCTTAAAGGTTTAACTCCTGAATTTGGTGTCACTTTAATGCAGAGATGGCCCCGAGGCAAATAAAGATTGATTTGCATGCTCTGCCCACTATTCTAACATGAAGTATAAACCCCTTATTTTTGGATTTGTAATACCTCCTTTTTTTAAGAAGGCTCTATAAGCTTCCTACTCAAGTTACTAATTCCATCCAACTCACACAACCAATTGATGACGCCATGCTTCCCTGGTAGGTTTTCCATGACATGTAAGGAACAATTAATTGGTGGGTTCAGCAGGATCAGTAGGATTGTTGTAGCCTTGTAGAAGACAAAACATATATTCTAAATATTAGATCTATAAAAGGCCAGCTATTGTTTTACCTGATGGCACCTATACAAATATATACCACCACCCATTTACAAAGGGATTCCGGTCTGAAGAGCGGTGGATCAAATATTATTATTGGCTACTTGACAACACACACAGGGACCATGGGGAACAAAAGTAGTCACCCTCCAGAAGGAAGGACAGTGTCAGCACCAATTCAGAGATGATTTGAGGACCTGCAGCTGAATGATACACAAATAAGATACATTTTTGTTAATAGCTTGGGGACTTGAATGCCTTTTTAAGATGTAACTCCGGAGTTTAGTGTCTCTTTATGTCTGCAGGGAAACGGACACTTCCGGGAGTGTGAATCTTCTGGGACCCCTAGAGCTCTCACTGGCTCCTTCTACTGGCCTTCATATCCCAGCAAAGTGACAACACTGCCTTTGTGCACTAGGTACAGAAAGGTAGCATTGTCACTCTTACACAGGAGGTCCCATGGGCCAAAATTGATTATTTTGTTAGGACAATCTACCCAGCAAGATACGAGATAAAGGACAAGACGTCTTAAGGTATTTAACAACATTCTTTTTTTTAAAAAACTTTTTAGCAGATTACTTACCAAATCCCTGGGAAATTTGGGCTCACAAGTGTTGGGAATCTACAGGCTACATTATATCTAAAAAAATATCTGACTCTTTGAAGTGAAGGGCAGCATCAAGTATATTATCAATAAGAAAAAGAAGGGTATAGTGGTGTAGGCGGCCATACTGTGGAACAAGCTACAGTACATTCAATTATGATGAAAAAGGAACCTTTTATTTACATGTAACAGTTACACGTGATGCTGAATATCCTGATTCACTAATAGCATGGAAAAGCAGGCATTTATATGATACAATAATCATATCCTGTGTACGAGCACAAACGCTATAGTTTGTCAATCACAAAGGCCACAGTAAAAATACACACACTGTACAGTGCGTTCCGAGCAGCACACTCTCGGGTTTCCGTGGCAACGGGAAGTCTGATGCCTCTCATAAGAGCAGGACAAAAGGCTCTGCTGAGGATCGGGGAAAGGGTTAATTTTGCTGGAGTTGCCATCAGCACTGCCTAAGGGAAAAGTACCAAGTTTGGGAAACGTCACACAAGAGCATTACTTCAATAGGGAAAGGGTCAAGGTGCAAACAGAGTTGACCTGTGACTGCCCGCCAGGAAGATTCCTCTAATTTATTACAGTTTTGTAAATTGCAATAGCCCATGCCAATCAAATCTAAATTTTCTCATTATCTTCCATATAGCATATTGACCTTACATGTTGCTAGATGACTGCACACTGAAAGGATGCAAAAAGGAAGATATTTTTCTGATTTTCTGGTGCAACAGTGTTGGGTTGGAAACACTGCCAGATCTACCAGCTCTACTCTCTTCGTTCCGCATCCTTTGAGTCCTTTTCTAAAGACAACCCCTCTATGTCATCAACATCAGGCCATGTCTACTCTCTTCTTTCCTCATCCTGTGAGTCCTTTTCTAAAGACAACCCCTCTATGTCATCAACATCAGGCCATGTCTACTCACTTCTTTCCTCATCCTGTGAGTCCTTTTCCAAAGAAGACAACCCCTCTATGTTATCAACATCAGGCCATGCCTACTCTCTTGTTTCCTCATCTTGTGAGTCCTTTTCTAAAGACAACCCCTCTATGTCATCAGCATCAGGCCATGTCTACTCTCTTTTTTTCTCATCCTGCGAGTCATTTTTCTAAAGACAAGCCCTCTATGCCATCAACATCAGGCCATGTCTAGAACAAATAGGGCAAGCTCACTATCTGTCCAGAAGAGAAGGAAGAGTGTTGGGGGGTGGAAGTGGGGGAAGGAAGGCATACATGAACATTTCAGCCATTGCAAACCATACCTAGTGTCCACGGGTGGAGTGAGCAGACAGAGGACCATGTCATGCCAAGAGGCACAGATGACCCTGGGTCTCAGGCAGCTGGTGGTATATAGGTTTAGCGCTCACCTCTGAAGGAGACGCTGGAATATGCCCTGTTCATCATCACTAGTCTGTCTAGGGGTATGATCTTCAGCCTTCCAACTAGCATTCAACCGCCCTCTTCTAGTGCCCACAAAGCTGCTGTCCACTCCACTAATGTAATGCTGAATAACTTTTATTAAAACATCTTCACACTGGGGAGAGAGGGTATAGGGATCCTAAGCTTCCGGGGTGTAACAGACATAGACTCCAGACTCCCCAGACCTTTTAAGCATCTCAGAGTAGATCCACTTGTGATATAGCAGATAGTAATTGGGGTATCAGATGAGCAGGGATGAATACAGATCCTCAGCAGGAGAGACACCAGCCATGCTCCAGAGGTCCTCTATGTTCCAGCAGACATCAGGTTTTCTAGTTCTCTTCCTCTGGCAAACAACACAGGCCTTCTCCATACTGGAGGCCTCAGGGAACCCTACCCACACTCCAGCCTCTGCCCACCTCCTCGGCCTCAGGCCTAGCCTGGGGTTGGATAGACAGCATCCAGCCCTAATCCATGGCTGGTCCCGGCAAGTCTGAGCACATGGCAAATCCCTCCAGTATGTGTACCCTATCCCAGCATGCACCACTGGTTGAGAGAAACCCAGTGATTGGCTGCTGTGCTGTACATATACTACAGTGCCTCTTATTGGCTGTCCCACAATATAGCAGAGTCACACTCCACCCAGGGGGGTACAGTCAATGCCAGGCACCTGGAATTACCAGATAAATGCCACTATAATTCAGCCAGGCTGACTACAGCCTTGGTAATCACTAAATGTCTAGTAGCCACACCACAGAAGGTGATGGGGGCTACATAGGGTTATGCTGCAGTGCCTATGAAAGAACCCATCATGTACATGTAATTAAAGAGAGGGATCATTATTGGGGCACCACCTCTTGGAGCGAAGTTATAAAGCCAAAATCTCCTCCCATCATCCCAGGAGGCCAAAATTCAATAGTCACAGGCAGCACCTAAACCTGATGATCAATGATTATATGGGCTCCAGGGCGGACACCAACAACCTGAACAGTAATGAGTCCATGGACTACTGTGTGTCTAGGATGGACTACTAACAAGATCTGGCCCAAAACGCATTTGAGCTACTAGTTTGCCCTGCTGCAGCTGTCATGTCTGGAGGTACAAAAAAACTATCTATTGGCTTATATGGATACATTTTCCTTCAATATATTGGAGACAGTGTCACCCCAATTGGATTGGTGCTAGCTACCATAAGCATACTCTCCCAAAAAAATGTTTTCTTTTTTCTTTTTTCTATTATTGTAGGTAGACTACACAAGACCACCACTGCTCTCCAGAATATAACTTATTGATATAAAATGTTCATCTTACTTAGACACAATAGTGCTAAACTCTATCACCCAAATACACTCATTGTGCAATAAAATCCTTAAAAACCACGAGATAATCTGGTATATCCACAAATACGCCACAGAATATACAGTATGATCATATATAAAATAATATGCTTCTATACAGGTGCTAATACTGTATATAACATTGATTAACAGAGTATGGTTTAATAACACAGGAGCTATTAGTCCATCACAGTCAGTCCATTGATTGCACTCATACTATACAACTCTCCATATTTAGTGCAATCAATGGACTGGATGTGATGGCACTACTGGCACCTAGACATGTAAGCTGCGAAAAAATTTGGTTTGGTTCGGATATTTCGTTATTTTGTGATTTGGATACGAAATCCAATTTGGTTCGGGTTTCGGACTCGGACGAAATCCGAATTTACGTTAGTTTCGGATGAGTTTACGAATATTCATGCGAATACCACAGAAAACCATATACAGATATTAATACTAAAGCTGGACCTCCTAGACCCGAATGGCATTCAGAATCCGAATTTCCGAATTGCATTCGGGAACTCCCGAATGCCATTCGGGTCTGGGAGACTCAGCTTTAGTAATATATGTAAATGAAATTCGGAAATTCAGATCTCGAATGCCATTCGGGTCTGGGAGCCATATACATATATTACTAAAGCTGAGGCTCCCAGACCCGAATGGCATTCAGGAACGCCCGAATGCCATTTGGGTCTAGGAGCCTCAGCTTTAGTATTATATGTATATACTGTATATAGCTCCCATGTTGCCGTAACGAAAATTCATGTTCAGACCCATTTGGATGCATTAAACCGAAAAACACATCTGATTGGCCAGAAAAGTCACATGTCCGATTCATTTGACGAAACCAATGAAAACATTTTTAGTTTCTGTTCCTTTAGTCCGAAACACATTTTTAGACTGCACTTGTCTAGTGTCTTGTCTAATGTGTGCGTGTTTTTTTTAAATTAATTTTTTATTATTATAATTTTTTTGTTCTGTTGGGGGGCTTTGGGGAAATATCAGGGGTCTAAACAGACCCCTGACATTTCCCTATTGAAATAGAAAAAGAAATTGAAGACACGGAGTCCTCTGTCCATACAGGTGGGGGAGAGCAGCGTGCATTGGATTGAAGCTGTGCCCCTCCTCCCCCCCCCCCGACGAGCCGCGGCTGTGTTGGCCGCCTGGCGCCCCTGTTGCCAATGGCGCCCTGTGCTCGTCATGGCAACAAGGGCGAAGGGGCCCTGGCTACGACTCCTCTCAGCTGCGCCTGAGGCGAGTGCCTCACTTGCCCCATTGTAGCTACACCCCCGCTTATACCTGATGGCTGTAGTTTGTACTTTTAAGCCTTTTAGACCTTTTGTAGCTTTATGCAAACACTCCTGTTCCCGGTCAAACTACAAGAAAAAAAAAAAAGCATTCCTAGTAGCATTTTATCATGTGTAGCTGCTAAAACTACCAGGAAAAAAATACTTTTTTTTACTGAAAAGAATCAAATAAGAGCAGTTTGGGGTACTGCTGTGTCTGTACTCAAAGCTAACTGTAAAATGAAAGAAAAAATTTAAATTCCTGCAGTCAAATATGAAATGCCAAAGTATGCTGTCCCTGAAAACCATGTTGGTGCCACCAACACCATGGACAGCTTTAAGGTATCTTAAAATCTCTGTATTTCCCACGTCATATTCAACGCTTTAAAAAAAAAGCCCCAACCCCTGATGTACCTGTTTTTGTAATTAGCATATGTTCCACACAATTGTAGAGTGCTTCTCTAGCCTTTGGCTGAGAATAGCTTGTTTAGCAGCCCTTTAAAAGGCCAAAAGTGACCATCAAAAATGGACTACCATTAGCCTAACCAGTGGCAGCACGGGCTGTTAAACACACTCCTGGATGCTGTAGGAGCTCAGACTGTGGGTGGCTGTACAGTGCTTCAGCCCCACCAGACTCAGAGACAGGGTCACACCTGAGGCTGTGCCATGGCTCTGGACCAGGGAAGCGCTCCATGGCTAACTTTACCAGTGCACTAGGTCTTTAAAGTTCCACAATGCAGAACCCAGACACTTAAGGTCACATTCCAGGCTAGCCCCACAACTGTCCAGTCCAGAAGGGTCTGGTTACTGCCTTCAAAACTATTGCTGAGGATACATCAATCCAAAGAGAGAAGGCCAAGCAGCATTGTAGTGAGGTATCTTACCAAGGTAAAGGTAGATGGCAGTATAATCCAATACTATCTGAATCCCTGTGTCCCTCAATGGACGAGAAAGAAAACAGTTTTGGCCTTAGATATACTTTAATATGCAAAGTATAGAACTCCCTGAACAACAAACCATCTCTATTAATAAACAAAAACTTTTGCCTAATATTAATTGTAAACTATTTAGATAATATAGCCTTTTAACAATTTTGGTTCAATTTCTGAGGCTGAGTGGGCTGCTAATATGCAAATGAGCTGATGTTCTAAAGCAGGCACTGTGAATAATTTGTTGCTGGGAGTCAGTAAGAGCCATACTGTGTGTCTTCCCCAATCAATGCATCATCCGAACTGCAGATGAAATACAGAGCGGAGGCTCCTGCTGCTTCATCGAAACAGATGTTTTAAAGTTCCTAAATTTAGATCATGCTAAGGAAGAGGTGCGTTCCCATACGGGCTCTATGTTTTATCGGAATCCTTCAACGCGCTCATGAATACAACCGTTTTGCGGAAGGGATGTTCACCTGAAATTGTGTTGGGACTGTGTTATGTGGCAGTTTACATAAAATTCAACAACAAACTTCAAGCTTTGTGCCTTCAAATTCTCTTAGCTCCTATTGAAGCAGGACAGAGCAGTCTGAACAAGCAGCCAAGGAAGGGGGGGAGGGCTTTTAAGGCGTACAAATGGACATATTCATTAAAATGTACATTTTATTTCTATATAGGTAAAATTATTACACAATGTACCTTTATATACAACAACACAACTATAATCTAATTACAATTAAAAATTTAAAAGTACAGGCCACGTCTATATTGGCAACAGCCTCCCCACAGGTAACCATAAGAACGTTTATATTTAATATCAATAATAATGATGTTTAGATACAGTTGTTCCATTCGAGCTTGCAGCTTTGAGCATATCTTGTGAGTACATTCTTGACCGATAGGTTCCTGGAAGGTGGTTGGAGCCGTGTAGTACAAGAAGATAAGTCACCGGCACTCCAAATTCCCTAATCAATACGTCTTTATTTGAAGCACAATCGTAGGGTCTATTTCCCATGCATGGTTCTGCAGGAAGACTACTTTCTGCTTGTGTTTTTAACTCTCTGCCTCCCTCCCCCTGCTCACTTCTGCAGGTCTCCCATTGGTCCATCCAGAACCCACCCCTTGTACCATATCATCACCTACTGGCTCACACAGATATGGTTCTGACCAACACAATGCACTGTCCATTTTGTCCATGATCATTGATCTGCAATGATCCTGGTATGGAGTTGCTACTGGCATAGTATTATTTATATTATCAAGGGGACACAAAGCAACATAAGACTACAAGCTTAAAAGCAATTTAAGGGCTGGTGCAGACTTGAGCAAACCGGGATGCACGTCCAGGGAC